ATCAGTGAAGCAAGCCATCATTAGGCTGAAAAAACAAAACAAACCCATCAGAGAGATAGCAAAAACATTAGGCGTGGCCAAAACAACTGTTTGGAACATTCTTAAAAAGAAGGAACGCACCAGTGAGCTCAGCAACACCAAAAGACCCGGAAGACCACGGAAAACAACTGTGGTGGATGACCGAAGAATTCTTTCCCTGGTGAAGAAAACACCCTTCACAACAGTTGGCCAGATCAAGAACACTCTCCAGGAGGTAGGTGTATGTGTGTCAAAGTCAACAATCAAGAGAAGACTTCACCAGAGTGAATACAGAGGGTTCACCACAAGATGTAAACCATTGGTGAGCCCCAAAAACAGGAAGGCCAGATTAGAGTTTGCCAAACGACATCTAAAAAAGCCTTCACAGTTCTGGAACAACATCCTATGGACAGATGAGACCAAGATCAACTTGTACCAGAGTGATGGGAAGAGAAGAGTATGGAGAAGGAAAGGAACTGCTCATGATCCTAAGCATACCACGTCATCAGTGAAGCATGGTGGTGGTAGTGTCATGGCGTGGGCATGTATGGCTGCCCATGGAACTGGGTCTCTTGTATTTATTGATGATGTGACTGCTGTCAGCAGGGTGAATTCTGAAGTGTTTCGGGCAATATTATCTGCTCATATTCAGCCAAATGCTTCAGAACTCATTGGACGACGCTTCACAGTGCAGATGGACAATGACCCAAAGCATACTGCAAAAGCAACCAAAGAGTTTTTTAAGGGAAAGAAGTGGAATGTTATGCAATGGCCAAGTCAATCACCTGACCTGAATCCGATTGAGCATGCATTTCACTTGCTGAAGACAAAACTGAAGGGAAAATGTCCCAATATTTATGGACCTGACTGTATGTAATTTTATACATTTTGGGAATGATGCACCACCACTTCAGCCAGCAACTTCTATGAATCAACTTCATGTGGAGGTAGCACTAATTAATAGAACTCTTTTTAAATAAACTTTGGAGGTGGAAATCAAGCAATTTTTCAAGGCAAACATGTACAGGATCAATGTATTAGAAATTCATGGAGTACAGGTCTGGCATTATCTAAGTCATGTGCCCTACTTTGCCTTGCAAACTCTCAAAGCACAGTTATCTAACATACCGTCTTCTTGGGCTCCACTGTTCTAGGGGGCTGAGCTTTCTCTCCATTCAGAATATTATTCCAAGATGGTATAGAAGCTGGAGCTTTGGACTCTGAGGCACGGGAAAACACAATGTAATGAATGAACACAACATCTTTCCATTCTTTCCATGTAGAAACTACTATCAGTGATGCAGCTGCAGTTAGGATGAATGAACACATGACTGAGTGTGTGTGTATACACATATATATATATATATATATATTATATTCTGGATGCATTAATTACTATATCAGTGTACTCATTAACAAAAGTTGCTGTCTTACCATTTGCTTTATGCAGTTGTACAAAATTTCATTATTTTTTTTCATTAACAGTACAACGGCAGGGTTTTCCCTGGTGGGGGGATATTTATTCAAAGGAATTTATAACTTGTATTCGTATTATTTATGCTATGTCAATTAATTAGCTTCCTTGGCTAATGTAACTTAGCTAATTCAGTACGGTACATGTTAGCTACGTTAGCAATTTGGGCTACATTCTTCTATCTCTGTTGTTACCATTAACAAGAATTACTCCCCAACCAAGTTACTGCGTACTTCATGTATTCTCTGTGGAGGCTAAACTTATCGAGGCCTGTAACTACCACCCTAAGTTCACAGTATAAAGAAATATCCATTCAGCTGGGTGATGCTGCCAGTTACACAAATGTTTGTCCAAACACTGATTGTTGACAGGTCATTCCTGTTGCCAGCTTACGTTTCATTTTGAGATCAAGTCACCTCTCTGTTATTTTTCAGTGCATATAACTCACCATTGTTTTTACATTCATTCTGAGATGTCGATCTTTTACATTCATTTGGCTTAGGCGCTCCACAAAAATCACTTCTATAGCAGGGAAAACCCCGAACAAAGATATTTTGGCTCACCTTCAGTCTTGGCCTGCCTTAGTTTCCCCAGAGCAGAGGCCAGGGAAGATTTGGGGCAATCGTATGGAATGACAGAGAGGGTTTTCCCATGTGGAATGAATAACTTGTTGGAATACCTCCACAGCTAAGCCAGAGAGAAGGGAAAGTCGAACACACATTAAATGTACAAGTAAACAGAATATGATTCTAACCAACTGCTCTATTTGTGATTCAAAATTAAGACTGTAAACTGCAATAAAGTTGTGAGGAGGAACAGTGAGCCCAGTCACAGTGGAGAGCAGGCACAATGTTCTACCAAAGTCATACAGTCCTCCATCAGCACTCAGCAGCTGGAAGGACAGGGAACCTTGGCCTACAGTAATAACAATAAGGGAAGCCTGAGTGGCTGGTTCATGCATACTTCTAATGGCAGCAAAAAAAAGGTTATGTTCATACTGGTGATTATCCCATATGAGCCTCAGGGCCGTTTCTAGCATGGTTAAAAATCATTAACAATATATTATTTCATCCACTGATCATAAAAGAGCTTGCTGTTTTACATGTATCTAATACATTAAAAGTTTCCCCTGCCATTTCTTTCCCTGCCTGAAGTGTCTGGAAATTGGTATTCCAAATGCAGAGAAAGTCTGAGAAAAAAAATAAATGAATAAAAATAATAATAAATCACACTCACGTCAGATACTGGAGTCACACAGCTTCATGTCATCATTCTAATATGAACACAAGGCCCACAAGTCAAAAATCAATGCAGCTGAATGCTAGCATTCTGCTGGTCTTTGTTTTAGTTCTAAGAACTTGAATAAACAAACAAACAAAAAAAAAAAAAATTCAAGCACTATTACCCTGTATCACCTGATGCTTGCCCCAATCTCTACTTACTGCACATTTTGCCAATGCAAACATTCTTTTGTCAAGACTGACTAAGCAGAGTTGTCTCTTTTGTGCATTATTTGTTCAGTTTAATGTTTGTACAATGCCAATAAGACCGATAGGCCAACCAAGACAGAAAACACAGGCAAGTAAGCAAAATAGCAAAACTGCTCCATTCCTCTTGAACATAATGAAGAATATCAACTGCAGACCTTTCTAAAGTATAACTTTTGACTTGTAAAAGCACAGATGTTACTAATATTAATTGTCTTTATTCAATTTAAGTGCAATGATCTCTGCTGTGCCACAGACATAGTATACTGTTTCAGAACTTAACAAAATTCATTCTTTGCAGTTTGTATTGACAAGAATGATACAATAAAAGTTGATCAGACTTTTTATTTTATTAATTTTTTGTCATTAAGATGACCTCTTTCTACAGTGGACCCAAGACTGACTTCATTAAGCTCTGTCATGCTTAAAATTTTACCTTTTATTTGTGTTAAAACTGAGACAACCAGCCAGATCCTCTGGCTTATTATATTTGAAAACCTCACACAGATTGTCATAGTAGAGCAGCTGTTGTTTTCAGTCAAGGTTGTGTAACTAAACAGCATTTACCTTTACTGGCTCCAGCAGAGGGGTGTGGAACTCCAACAACAGCGACATGAGCCTCATCCAGGACCAGGGCTGATGCGGCCTCTAGCAGGCCGACGCCAACAGGTAGGACCAACAGCAGACTACGAGGCAGCGGAAGAGCATGAGCCCCCTCGTCAGCCCCGAGACCCCGCAGAGAGACTACACTCTGGTACACGTGACCGTTGGGGTCTGGGTGGCAGGAAAAGGATGAGGCACACAAGAATTATTGAAAGAGGAGACAATGAAAAATACTAACGACAAGCTCACCTATCTTGCATGTAACATCTTGTGTTTATACACCATAGTGTATAACAAAACAACAAATTTTTATCATAAGCGTTAGTGTCATTTCATTACAAGATTATACTCTACTGAACTCAATGGATCAGCATTAGCTGCACAGCTAAGTAACACTAAGTTACATGGCATGGGGCTCTTGTTTGCAGTAATGGGTTTTCATTGACTGCGCTGTTCATCCTAAGCAACCTTAAAAAACATGGCACAAAGTCCTTCTCAGCTCAGCAGTACTGCACAGTGGCTAGACAGCAGGCACTAGCTGCTGACTGTGAGTCAAAGTTGACTCATGAGTTACTCTCCAAACACCTGAATTAATACTATAATGCTTTATCTTACTTCTTGAACCAAATAGCAATTTCTATGTAAGAGTATATTAAATTTAACTCCGAGTAAAACCAGAACTCATCTCAAAATAACTTGCATCCTCATTCATTTTTTCATACACCCACTCATTTGCTGTTGGCTTTTCTGTCCCCAGTGGTCAGAAAATAACACACAACCAGGATCATTCACTTCTCTATGCAGTAATGCTGAATGTGCAGGATGTCTTGTCCATGGCTGAGCTCTAATACTGGAGAAACCATTCTTACACAGGACAAACTGGCACTGTGGAGGACAGGTTTTGAAGTGCACCCTCTAACACCCATCCACCTTTAATGCAAATATTCTAAATGAAAAGAGATCAAGCTGTTGCCACTGGCCAACACTATCAGTTAATACTTTTTTTTTTCATTTTTATTACAAATTCATGTCCTGCCACTGGCCAGCACTGTCAGTTAATACATTTGTTTTTCATTTTTATTACAAATTCATGTCACTCACTATGCATTTTCAAGTCTATTTTAATAGCTAGCTTGTGCTGTCAAATACCAACACTAAAAATATTTTCACATGAAACTCAGACATACAGAGATAAAGCAGGAAGATCTGTTTGTCCCTGCAGGAGACGGAGAAACTGAGTGGGGCGAGACCAGGCTCCTCTCTCTCTAACCGGTACCGCTGTAGGCCGTTTGGATTCAGTCTCTGCAGGTAGAGGAAATGATCTCCTTTCTGTGGGAATACAGTGACAACCAATGACGGAAACAGGCATTTAGAAATACCAGAAACTAAAGAGTTGATGCTCATGTAAATAGGAAAAACATGACAGACAAAATTTGTTACTTGAAAAATGGGTCAAAAAATTCATGCAAGTCACATACATCTTTGTGTTTGCGCTGTAAACAAGCATGCTCTGAAATCTTTACAAATTATTGTAATACAAGGGCAATTAACACTTAAATTCACGTGGAACCGCATGCTCTTGATGTCTCAAGTATAATTCCAGAGCAATTAAAATGATGTTACCTGTTCAGTTGTGAAGATGACAAACTGCTGTGTCTCAGCCACTATGCTGGTGCTCCACCTAATGACAACACACAGAATCATTAACATGCTTCTAGAGACAACAGCACTAGGCACTGCGTTCTGTGTTTGAAACATCAGTCCACATAAATCTGTTGCCTGAATGATAAAGTTGTAGCACCGAAATATTACACCTCCCGGGGAGATTCTGGACCTCGCTCTGAATCCAGATTTTAAGACAAGGGGTTTACTGGAGCTGTAAGATATAACAATACTGACCTGATAGCCTCTTCTTGATCCAGGATTTCCTTTATGGGCTGCTGGGGAGCAGAAAGCAGAGAGTCCAGCAGACTCACAGCTCCTCTCTGGAACAAGACCACAGGCTCCCACCCTTGTTGACAGTGGACTCTCCAGACATCTGATGTCACCTGGACAGAACAGATACAGAGGAGGCAGAAATGAGAATGTGTAATGTTTTTACATCAATTGGAACGCGTAATATTTAGAGTTGGTTGCTCTGAATACTACAGAGAATTCTCAGATTAAGATACCCAAAGAAACAGGTAGATTAAATATCTTGTATCATGTCAGCAGTGGAAACAAATAAAACCAATTTTCCTTCAGGTGTCTGTAACTTGGGTTAAGCACTATGGAAAAGTTCAAATGGAGCAGAGGCAAGGTGCTTTAAGACTGCAAATAACATTTGGCATGCTTGACGTGACTGTCTCACAAAAGAGGAGATGACTATCCATGTTCAGACTTACAGTTGCTTTAAAGGTCTTATCCAGGAGAACGGCATCTTCCTTCCAAATTCTGATCACCTTTAAAAACAACAATTAAAAAGTCATTAAAATATTACAAATAGTTCTGAAAGGTCAGATCTACAGAAAAATCTATACCAATAAAAAAAAGGACTACATACTGTAATTATAGTGGTCAAACCTTAAAAATGGTACATAGTGAACCACTATAACAACACACTCAAATAGAAATGACAATACAAGCCTGATAAAACAGGTGGATGGGAGATTGAATAAACTCACAAACACACTTAGATTAGGGAAGAAATGACACTTCGGTCACTGTTTTCTCAATAAATTTAGTGATGACGGTGCTTCACAGTTCACTGACTTCTCTAATTGTAGGGAAGCCAGAGGGCGTCTGCACACATATGTACAAGACTGGCAGGAAAGGTCTACCTTGTTGTCTGAGACTGCCACATATTCCTTGGTCTGTGAGTTGAAGACTGCTGAACAGGTCAGAGTTTGTCCTTGTTTGACTGTCCAGCTGCCCAGCAGCTTTTGGTCTGACACCTGTAACAACAGGGAAACTAACTTCACTTTCTCAGAGTGTATTACGTATAGTAACAGTTTCCCTCCATATACTGCTAAAAGGGAGCCAGGTTAACAATGCCATTAAGACTACCAAGATAACTTATGGCCTAAAGTAAAATCAGCTCTTGTTCCTGTGGCAAAACCAAATTCATTTTAAAAGTATGGCAGTGTAATCTTGTAACTGTCTTATCCCATTCACACAAAGCTGTAAGGTTAACTTGAGTTATTTCTAGTTGCAATGTTTTTATCCGGGTCAGGACTGTTTGCTACAGGCTACAACCAGTCATGCTGGTTTGACAGTAAGAAAAGCTGACACAAACAATGATGATATATACAGCTATACCAGCTACTAGCTAATTACACGCTAAGATAGCTTTAAAAAATGAAGCTAAATGTGCGTACCTCTCCAGCAAGGCATATATTGATGTAGCTAAGCTTAGCTAACATTTGCCTCATTTTCGAACTCGCATGATGTTTATTACAAACTGTGCGACTCCTACTGTATATTTTCACGGAGAATGAGTTAAACTACTATCACAGCTAAAGTCTTGCCTTGTCGATGGTTTCTGCCACTATTGCTGAAAGAAACGTAGATACTAACACGAGTTATACATGTCGCACCGATCAGCTGGCAAAGGTTAGGAGAGCCTCTTCAAAACAAACACTATACCATACCTTGTACAGCATGACAGATCTGGTTGAGTCAGTGACAACCACATGGTCGCTGTCTCTCCCCTCTTCGATACCTTGAATACTTGAATTTGACAGATTTTGCGCTGGAACAAGTCCGCACAACGTGTAGCCTTCATACAGCGCGGCCATGCTGGACCAGAAGGAAGTGATCCGCCTCTTCTCTTCTTCGCTTTGTTTTATGGCGGATTGTGAACCAATGGTTAAGGTGCATATCGCCACCTACTGTATTGGAGTATGTAGGGTCATTGCATTGAATTGCCTGAATTCCAGGACTGAATTAAAACAAGCAAACCCTATATTCAAGTGGCATTCAGGTTGTTATTTACTCTTGAGACACCAAAAGGACTACAAGAGACACATAGAAAATAAGAGACACAAAATGTCATGGTTTGGCTTTACTTCCGCCTGAGAGCTTTTATTTTGGTTACTCCCTGCCCTGCATCATCTCACCTGCCCCAGCTTTACCTCAGTACATAATCACTGTTCATTGTTTTCACCTGCTGCTCATTATTTCCCAGTCTGCAGCCATATATACCTCCTCCTTTCCTTCAGTCATTTGCTGGTCCATTAATGTATTGATGCTAATGCTCACTCTTTTCTCAAGGCTTGCCACACCCTATTTTTCTTGTCTTGTTCCTCGGCACTGACAACACTTCTACCTTCATCTCCTCACCTGTGAGTTCCTGAATTCTCAGCAGCACTGGCATGTCTCTTGTCCTGCATTACCTGCTGTGTGTCCCAGGTGCTTCAGCCATACCTCCACTCCCTGGCCTCCTCGACTCACCTGTGTGTCCCTGGTTCCACAGCCACTTCTCTGCCCACTCAACCTATCTGTGGGTTCCTTGTGCTCCAGCTACACTGACTCACCTGTGTACTCCTAGCCCTGCAGCTCCATCTAGGTTCTGTCCTGCAAGTTTGACTTCCCGGAGTGCCTCTGGCACCACAGTTACACTTTATTTAAAGAATAATGAAAGAAGCAAAGACTTTCTAAGCTCCATTCTGGCCTGGTCTGCATTTTGGGTCCTAGCCCTGTGTGAGCGCCGAAACACAAAATGACTACAAAGAGAAAATTAACATAAAAGGAAGAAAAGGGACAACTACAGATGTTGCATCCTTTTTAATTTTGTGCGTCTTTCATGGCTGGGGGAGCCTTTTACCTGACTATGTATGAATAATACACTTTGTTAATCAGGACAGTGGTCGGTAAAATGTCTGAAATGTTGAACTTGTGTTACATACAACAAAAATATGTCTTGAGTGAGATCATATTCTTTAAATTTAGAGGTCAGAACATTCCAACACTTCCATAATAGTGATTTATTCATCAGCGGAGATTTGATCTGCTGCTGCTTCAGCACTGATCAATTTCAGATGGAAGTGAACCTGAACGTAACTGATATTCAGCGGCACCGGGCACTAGAAAGAGACAGAGATACACAGAACAGGTTAGAATAGGCACACATACTACCATAGAGGTAAAGTTACTTAATAACATTATAGTCATATAAATGTCTTTATGATTTTTATTTTTTTCTTCTTTTATATCCTTTCTTTTTTTTCTTTTTTGTATGGACTTTGAGTCTGCTAATAAAGGATGATGATGATGATGATGAGTCAGAATAACAGGTTATCAAAGAAAACAAAACAAAAGTGTTAAAACACATTTGAACTTTCAGGGAAATAATTTTGGTATTAAATAATTGGATAATGCTGTACTGGATGTTTTAATTATAGTGAACATAATCTATGTTATTTGGAGTTTTTAAAACATGGTAAAATTCTTTAAAATTTGGCAGGTGAACTTAAATAAATGATACAGCAAAGCTGGTGCCTCTGATGCCTCAAACATGCAAAAAATAAAATAAATTACTTTTTGGCAGTTTTTTAGGTTATATTGTCTTTTTCATGAAATACTCCTTACATTCAAAGCACTCTGGTATTTTGAGTTTCCCATCGATGCACTGGGATGGCACTGCGTAGCCACAATTCCTGGCCTTGTCCAAGCAGTAGACAGAGACAATGTCCTTGTGTAAGACTCTGTTGGGGCGCAGGTTTTCAATCCAGAGTTTTTGTCTTTTGTATAATATCCTTCCTCTCTGTATGTCAACACTGCAAGGAGCTGAAAATCATAAGGAGAAAAAAAAAATCATTATACTGGAGATAGTGTTTTACAGTTTTTCACGAAGACGTAAGATTGACATCCTTGTTGTCTGACATACTTCACTTGTAAAATCCCTGTAATGCTGACTGTGATTCTACCTTTGCAGGATGGCTTTTCAGACCAGCTCCCATCCTGCTGACAAACAATCTGCAGACTTCCTTCCAATACGTAGTCTCCATGGCAGCCATATCTGATAACTTCCATGAAGTCGTAGTCTCTGTCGTCATTGTTTGACATGTAACCTTTGTAGATATTTTCTGGGGGAGGGCAGGTCATCACTGCAAAGGAACAAGTTGATTTATTCATTTGAGAAACTCCTAATGAAATCAGACTTCATATTGTCTGTCACTATGTGTGTGTCATAGTTGACCAGTGGTTTGCCAAATATCCCACGATTTTGCAAGCTGAACTGTAGTGAAAGATTTCTTCTGAAGACAGAATGTGGTACAGTTGTGTCTAATTGTTTATTTGTCATTACCGTTGTATAGGTTGGGTGTGAGATAACTGGGTTTTGCAGTTAAAATTATTAAACCAGTTATTACCACTTGGGATTATGTGATGTTGGGAGTATCACTGAATATTTCTCATGTCAGTCTCCCCTCTCTTTACTGAGAGTAGTCAGAAAACTCAGAAGTAAAACTGAATATATTGATACTTGATCTGAAATAGTGGAAAATTAGAAACTTTTACTTTGTTAAACTCTGTGTATAACTTTTTAATCAAAAATATTTATGTTGGAATTTGAATCTTGGACAGAAACAGATACAATATTTATTGTATGTACTGTACAATTATCTTTTGTCTTCTACTGTATGTGTGATGTGTGTGATACTGTATTTAAAAAATGGAAATTTGAACATCTATAATTTTTTAAACCTGGGCATATTTACAGAAGCAGACCTTGAAGTGAGATTGTTTTCTCACTGTTGATACTGTAGGTCAAGAATGAACTTCAACCTTCAGTATTAGAAAGAAATTCAGAAACATCACAACAGTGCTGTGTATGGACATGCTTTATTACTAGAATAATAATGTACTATTTTTACCTGCTTACATCCTACAGTAAATATTTGAAGTAATGGTTGGGATCAGTAAATACATCTTGCAGTGCCACTTTAATTATTCTTTGCACCAGTACAGCAGTGTCAGGTCCGCTCGGCGCGACCTGCCTCTCTTTCTTCTTTCCCTCTCCTGCTCTCCCTGTTTGCGGGATCAACGCCTCAGCTGTGTCACATCGGGTAATTAGTGACTCGTGGGTCGGTGCGCACACCTGAGGCGTATTCCGGTGATTTGTTGGCTTCCTTATTTATACCTCTGGCAGACGCTCTGTCGTGGCCGCAGCATTGCGACATGTAATGGACAATACTTACACTATGTACGTTACAAATGTTGTGTTTGACCCGCATTTTTAGACGTGTGTAAGATGCTACGCTGACAGTATCTGTGCGTTTTGGCTTGACCTTATCACGCTAATTATGCGGTTAGCAACACAAATACGTGCTCTGTCTTCCACGCTGACAGTCTCTGTGCTGTGGATTACATTGTTTACGTTGGTTCTTTTTGTTCACCTGTCCGTTCTCATCCTCCTGCTATCCTAGTTCCTGTCGTTAGTTTGTGTGTTTACCGTCCTGGTCTCCTTAGTCATCACCGCCCTTCCCTTGTTGTATGTATTATGGACCCTGTTATGTTGTCATTTTGTTTTTATTCTATTAAACCACCTTTTTTGTACTAGCACCTGGGTCAGCCATCTTGAGTCCAACCCCAGTTCTCCCTCACCCTCCTGGTGAGGGGGACTAAACCATAACAAGCAGCTCCTGCTTTTTCACCCTTCATACCTTGACATTCAGGTGTCTTGGTCCAGGTGCCACTTGCAGTGCACTCTGCTCTTGCGTCGCCAATTACTACATATGGAGGTCGGCACTTGTACGTCCCTGTGACGCCATAATCAGTGGTGTTCCCTCTGATCAACTTGTCATAGACTATCATCCCAAACTGTGGGATCGGCGCAAGACCACAGGACACAGCTATGAGAAAATAAAGACAATATACAAATGTATGTACATGTACTGGCATAAACATTAATTGCTTATATTGCATGTGTGGTTTTGTTATTGTTTATATGTATGTATGTATTTTATGTTACTGAGATGAATATTACTGAGTGAATTTCTCATTTGTGTGCCAGTCCCCAGAGACTGCAGAAAATTTTGTATGAGAGCAACTGTATACTGTATGTTTTACTGTATCATTTCTTTTTTATTTTTTATTTTTTATTTTCCTGGTCTTGCAGAAGGATACAGTGAATTACATACGCTTGCACTCTGGTACCAGTGCACTCCATGTTCCATTGGCTTGGCACACAGCAGTGCTGGCTCCAGTCAAAACGAACCTGTGCAGAGCAGCCATATCATTCTGTCAGTTCACGCTTAGATTGCAAATAAATGGCCAAAATATATGGTGATTCACTCAAATCAGGTTAAATGCATTTGAAGCCAAATGTTGATGGATCAGAACTGGTCAGATGCACATGAACATAGATAGTTGATTATAATGAAACTAGTGCATATGTGACAGTTTTAGAAAGCAGATTACATAGACAACATTTTAAAATTCATCAAAATGCCTGCACTTTAAATAATGGATCTTTAGACGTGTTGAAGATTTTGTTTTCAAAAACTTTTACTTTAAGCAATTCCAGCTTTTACTTTTCTTTTCATGCTGCTTACACGATGATGCTAGCTGCCAACAATTTAATACTGCTGATTATAGGTTCTTTATTTGCACACCAAAAATATCACTAGGACCAGCAAGGTGGCTGGGAGGCTTCAAACTGCACATCAGCAGCGTCTCTACTCTTTAACTGTATCAGAAGTCTCAGATTTTTTTTAGCTGCTTATCCTTAATATTTAAGAAACTCATTGTTTTTGCTTTACCCTTCATGACAAGTGTAGTTGATCGTACTCTGGTACACTGTATCTTCATAGTATATCTCTCCATTAGACAGTAGATCAGGAAAGGGACACGTTTTTGCTGCGGAAGAAAATGCAGAGAGCACATGCGTAAATAGTTTTGCTTATGAATAACACATAGAAAATAGAGGTGCATGTTTTCTGTAGCTGCTGTAGCCAAGTAGAACCTTAATGAAATGTTGTCTGTTATCTATTATGTATGCTAATGAACAAATAACTACTATTACATATTCAGATTTCACAGCATAAAAGATAAACGTACAGTATATTTGTTAAAACACCCAGGTTTTATACACATGTATAATACAAATAATCAAAGAGTATAGTAATGAGAGTCTGCTAGAAATGGTTTACATTGCTTCAGATAATAAATAAATTAAAACTATTCTTTCTCCAAATCTACTGCAGTTTTCCATTCCACATCAAAAGGTGAACTGCAATTAAAATATAAAATAAGACAGAAATAAGTCTTCACTTATTATAAAATTTGAAAACAGTTACAGGGACATCAGAAATAATTCAAAAGTAACTGATTATTGCCATTTCATTTACATTACTACACGGCTATGTTAGCATTAAAAGTAAAAACTTCCTTAAAAATAATAATGTGTACTAGAAAATTTCATTACAGTTAAACTTGGCAATTAACTCAAGTGTGCACAGTTGCAGTACAACATGTTCTGTCATAAGACCCTAACTTCTCACTAGAATAATAGAGACCCACGTATGCATTTTAATTTGGTTTTTGCCCATTGTCCACTGTCGGTGCAGACAATCGTCCGAGGGCCCAACACTGGGGTGTATCCTTGTTTACAGGACAGCGCTAACACCGCGCCAGGATTAAAGAACCTCTGGATTTCGTCCATCTCAATGTTGGCAGCCAGCTGAGGCCTAGAACATACTGTGGGGGAACATGGATTTAATGATAATTGTGCACAGACTCTCACACTGAAAAAAATAAAGTCAGGAGATACCACCACAAACTAAAGAACATTGGGGTTATTAATACAGTAATTCACCATTCACTCTGATCTTAAATGCATATGCTTACCCTGAAAAGAGGTGTGTGTTGAAAGTTATGCCACAAGACAAATGAGGACCATCAAATATTTTCTACAAAAATATTTAATGCAGCTCATTTAGAGTAATATTTACTGAAAGCTGGTTATTCTGAGGAGTGTAACTCTCTTCAGAGCCACATTTGGCCCACTTTTCTCAACATGGTGTAAATTCCTATGGCACATCATTGTCAATCATTAGTTTCAACAGTGTGACTGATTAATTTGAAGGACACATGACACTTAAAGCTAAATATTCATCCATTTCAGATAAACATTCTTTTAGCCTTTTGAGATTTGGCAACATTTGACAAGGAAAAAATAACCAAAAATCTTAGCAATGGAGATCGAACAGTGACATAATACATGTGTAAACATACAGTGAAAGCCAAACCAAATAAAAGCCAGTAACATAAGCAAATACCATTGTCATTTTGAGATGTCACAGCAGAAAGAAATACAAATGGACACAGCAGAAACAAAGCCAGCATGTGATCCATCCTTGTACAGACGGTCCTCACGTCTCTCCTGTAGTCTCTGGTTCAGATACACAACCCCTGTCCCCACGCTCACTGCTGTTTGTATTCCTCTAAAGGTAAACAGATAACAGACTGTAATCCATGCAACATTTACTGGAAGGGGAAGTCTCTAGCAGTGGACTTTCTCTTGGTGTTGCAACACAGTAAACAACAAAGCAGCAACATAATGTTTTTATTTCCAGACCTTGTGTCTTTAGGCCCAGTTTATTCTTGTTTAAATTTGAATCAAGCTTTGCGTTATGTGACAAATATACATCAAAACAAATGAAGACAACAGAAACATGAGTGCTACATTCCTGACACATTTTAAAGGACAGTTGACTATGTGACCTCAGTATAAAAAAAAAAAAATCTTTTCCTTTCGCTCCCAGTTAGATTCAGACGGAGCTGCCTTGCTGTTGTCACCAGCAGGCTAGATTACCACACTTCCCTTTTTACTGGTTTCATTTGAATCAGAATGCAATGGCTCAGCTGGTGACCTGTTTATTGCAGAACAGAATTTAGGATTTGGCTCTCGAGTGTGTGCACGTTTAGTTTAGTTTATTTCAAGCATGTAAAGAATAAAATAGCATTACAGAAATAAAACTGTGAGAAAAGAAAAAAAAGGTAGTGCATATACAATACAAGAAGAAAAAAAAACTAATAACAATATAAAGACAAAATAGTATACAATTCAGTCATATCACATTCATGAAGTAAACTACAAATACTACCACCATTGTATGCTTGAAAGGGAGTAGAAAGAAGTACAGACTTATCTAGTTCTACCCCCTTTCTTAGACCATGGTATAGTTATGCCAGCGCCATCGACCCTGCCAACAACCACCCAAGCCCACCAAAAACTGCCAAGGACCAGCCCCGACATGCACCCAACATCCAGCACCAAAAAAGCTGTTAAATTTGTTTACTACATCCTCCATTGTGTTGACAGGCTTATCATTATCAACAAAACAGTGAGGATAGTTCTCCTTACTATGGCAGTTTCTAATTAAACTGTTTAATATATTCCAAGTACCTCTCATATTGTTTATCAATATTATTTCTTATTTTCCATTAATATTTCTACTGTTACACATTCCAACAAATTATCCACTACTGTTGACAACTTGTCCACTATCTTATATCTAAAGTTTTTATCTACATACAGTGCCACACCACCTCCCAACTTCGTTTCTCTGTTTACACATACCATGCCATATCCATTTAGTTCAAAATCCATGCCCCTTACATTGTTAATCCAAGTTTCAGAAATTGCAATTATATTAAATGAATGTAAGAGACCACTGAGATAGTGTTTTATATTATGGAAATTAGCATATAAACTTTTACTGTTAAAGTGAATCATAGATATTCTGCTTTCAGTTTTAATTTGGCTGTTGAACTGTTTATCTGTATAGTAAAGACATTTGTTGTTATCTGCCTGTATCCGTGTTATAGCTTAAACGTTTTTATTTTACATTTTCAAATGCTTCTGTATGAGACTGTGCTCTTTCCTACACTTTTCATGGAGTGTTTTTCTTCTCTTTTTAATGTGAACAGCAATAAAGCAAGTGAGACGAGCTGAGATTTACCAAGGTAGATAATGTAAACAAATATGCACACCAATACTGGGGACAATATACAATACAATAATACAATATACCACACAATACTGGGTAAAGGCAAGAGATTCAAACATTATTAACATATGAATTGGTATGAGATGTGCTGGGAATGAAACTCAGGGCGATATTGAAAGGTATGTCTGTTCTCTCTGTTCTTACTGTAGTCTAAAATTAGCCTCTAGTTCTGATGTCGCTTTATATTGAATGCTGCTATAAAACGTCTGTTAATTTTCATTTAACTAAAATTTTTAGTTATCAAGATTTCATCTTATCATATAGCAGACTGCAAATGTCACATGATCTAAAAGTAGCACTCCACCAGTTTACAGACATAATGAAAACATCTTTTCATTGTTATATGAATAGTATTACTTTATTAGTATTGAAAATGACAGACAAAAATGAGAGACCCATTTGACCACTATCAAGGGTAACCTCTGTCTTGTAGCATATCTTACAGAAGAATTATTCTGATTCCAATCAATCATATCTGGTGTTTGTGGTGTTTCAGGTCATTCAGTGTGGTTTGTCGGGGTTGCAGGGGGTGAAGCAGCACACATTGCAATTTCTGATGGAAGGGTTGTGTGCCTTAAGTTGTACTCCAGCCTTCCTGGTTCTAAAAGCAAGAAAAAGAAAAAGAAGGGCAGTTATATTATTGCAACCATAAAATATGTTTTATTTAGTTTTAAAATCTGACTTTCATTTTTTGATAAATGTGCACTGGTTAGTCTTGAGTGCAGCAGCTTGAATTAGATTTATTGAGCTGACAAAAACTCACCCTCAAAGCATTCTGGGATGGGGAGGGCTCCATCGTTACAGGTGCTGGCCACAGGGTAGCCACAGCTCTCAGCTTTGTTCAGACAATAGAAGACAACAGGTTCCCCGTGGATGACTCTGTTGGGCTTCAAGTCTTCAATCCAGAGCTTCTTGGCATTGTAGAAGATACGACCTCTTTTGATGCCAACTGTGCAGGGAGCTGTGGGAAGAAACAGCACTTATAGCAGCTAAGGCATGTTTTCTTGCAACACTGCAAGTCCAGTCAGTAGGTTGTATTATTACTATTGGTTTGAAGCTAATTTCCACACCCACATTTGTCTAAAAGCAGTGCCGAGGGCTGACAGGAAATTATTTTTTCTCTTTATGAACTTATTCCTTTTTGGAATCGAGACTGGAGACTCTGCCACAGTCTCAGCATATCTGAACACTAAATTACTACTGCAATGCTGAATGCAGAATATTTTGCACTCATGAAATAAAATATACAAAGTTAGCCCAAGGGTTGCTTTAACCATTTGATTTTAACACAACTCACCTCTGCAGACTGGCTGGGCAGACCAGTTTCCTGTATTTTGGCACTGTATCTGAGCCTCACCCTCCAGGACATAGTGTTCATTGCAAGCATATTTGACCTTCTCCTTGTAGCCATGTTGCCTCATCACAGCAAAGGTGATGAAGCCATTTGGTATACCTGCTGGAATGGGGCAGCTCACCTCTGGGATGATCAAAAACAAGTCAAGAATGTGAGGTAATATTATTTAGTATCTATAGCTGCAAAGGGTGGGTTAAGACAAAATTACAGAAAACATTTTAAAGAGCTGGCAGACTGCTGAAACTGTAACAAACTGTATGGTAACTAACCACAAAGAAGAAAAACTGATGAAAGAGTAAAGAATACTGAAAAGTACCTCGGCACACTGGTGGCTCAGTTGTACTTCTATTAGCCATGCAGGATCCTCTTTCATAAGTTGGTGCTTTAGGTGGGTTACACTCATATGTCCAGCTTTGTCCATAACTGACGGTTCCAGTAAATGGCTTATCATGGACAACTCTCCCATCTGTAGGTGGCTTCGGCAAAGGACAATTCACAGCTGTGTAGAAAACAACAACAACAACAACAACAAAAATGGCAGTCAAGTCATACTGACATTAACTCTGAAAAGTGAATTCTACTTTGTCAGGCTTTAGAATTCAACAACATCCACACTGTCTTATTTAGAGTGTGCTGCCTTTACAGCAGGCAACACAAATTAGCTCTAGTTTAACAAATAATGAAATTTTACATGCCACTTTAAAAGTCAAGCACACACTGCTGTCTTTTAACAATGAGTAAAGGAAGAATCTGGTCAAAATAGTTGAATACAAATACAGTAGCCCAATGAAGTAAATGCAAGTGCATTAATAAGAAAAAGGAAAACACCTCCTATTGACACTATACATGATGTGCAATTGCTGTTGTGTTTGCGCTCCACTGAACACTGATGACCATTGCCACTACTTTTTTACTTCAGTACCTTTGCAGAGGGGTGGTGGGTTGCTCCAGGTGCCATCATGTAAACATCTGGCTTCATTGGCTCCTTGTATGATGTAGCTGATTAACAAAAGTTTATATTAGGGAAACACACAATGTGTAATGTTTGTAACTGTAAAATGACTTTCACTGTCATTCAGGTTTACCCATCATCACATGTGTAGTTAAGCACACTCTTGAATGGCACTTCAGTCTTTCCCATTGCTAATGGCTGCAGAGGCCTGGAGATTGGGCACGTCTTAGCTATAGAAATACAAGATAATAAAATATTGACAATACTGAATCTACACGTCTTGGGTGGAAATCCAAGGCACTTTAATGAATATGACCTCTGTAGGTTTGATGACAGCAGTTATTCACTGGTAGAGAGAATAAACAGCAGGATAACTGACAACTTATTCCTGATAAATACAGTATGTTGGTTCTTTCTATTTAGTGACCCTCCATGGCTGAAAGGTCTGTACAGCAACATTTGGACCTCATCATGTGTCTGATGAGACAAAGACATTCATGGAGTGAACTAAACCTTTCAACACAGTGCAATGATTTCTCTGGAGACTGTGGGAGGCATTATTTAATTTTCTTGATCAGCAGAAGCAAAATATGCTTTTAGACTACATTTCTCACACTTTTTATTTTTGGATATTTTCAGAACTGTCATTTTACAGCTCTGCAGCACCAAGAGCACACAGGCAAAACCTGCATAGAGCACCAAATTCTTTTAACTCACGGGAACATGCCAGGTTTGACTGTGTCCACTCCCCTGTGTCTGTGCAGGCTATCCGTCCAGGGGTTGCTGTTGAAGGCAAGTATCCCCTGTCACACGAGAGGGTCACCTCTTCTCCAACCTCATACACTCTTTTTAGGGCTGACGCATCAATCCCGTCAGTGATAGGTGGGCGGCCACATACTGGTTACAGACAAATTAATGCATTAGGAGCAGGAGTCACGGTTATAATTTGTGACATAGTACAGCAACAATAATTAACAGCTCTTAATTTATTGTGTAGATCTCAGTGTTGTGAACTGTCATAAAAGCTGTGCACACTTAAGTTTTGATATGAAGCCATCAACCATGTGATTGAGGTGCATAATATTCAGACATCCAAAGAAATGAAGGCATACATGCAGCACATTACCAGTAAGCACAATAAATACTTTCATACTCAAATACAAATGATCACACTCCATTTTACCTCTTTTGGATGATACAGTTGTGTAGAAAGCTACTTGGCAGATGATCAAAAAAGCCAAAGCCGAAGTCATCTTGTTGTGAAGTCTCCTCAGGATCCCTTTGTATCTGACTGGGGATGTGGCCAGCATAAGGGCTGCTGGGTAAATAGATCCTTGATAGCCTGCTCCAATTAGATGCCAGTAAGCTCTTATTGACTGAGCACAAAGGTCTTAACTCACGCATGTTTAGCTAAAGTTGATCAATAACCTTGATTTGGTACAAAAGCCAGCAGCAGACACACAGAATGAACTTATAAATAATGAAAAAAAAGAGACTCCCAAAAGACTGTGCACACACACACACACACACACACACACTCACACACCCACACACCCATGAACTGTAGTGCATACAGATTTTATACAGATCTTTGAAGAACAGTATGTTAATTGAACCACTAGATGCCCTTAGTGGGACTGAACATACAAGAAGAAATAATCATGTTTATTAAAAAAGTAGAAACTATGTGCCCTGCAGAACATAATGTATCACCTACAGTAACCGGGCCAAATGATTTCTTGATTTCCATTAATAATGGATGTCCTTTATGGGTGTCTTCAACCAGGCCGTTAGGCTGCATTATTTGATTAAAATAAATATAATTCCTCTTGTGCCTTTACCATGTGGTAGGAGCTTTAAATGGGCTTCAGCTCATTATTAGCTATTTACATGATTTCATTTGCAAATATTTGTCCTTCACATAAGATAGATTGAGATGGTCATCTGCTGTGCTGGTCACTGAACCTACATGAACTGTTAACCCTAGAAACATTTGAGAAATAGCAAGCAGGCCAAGAGAGTTGATGAACCCGCCACAGCTGTGAGAAAATATGCAAGAATCCAGTCAAGCAAAACTCAGCAGTAGCCCCATGTGTGCAAGTAAGGAATCCAGTTATGTTTATAAGAAATATAACTACAACAAAAGATCTTTAAGGGCAGTCTGACAAACTGAAGTAAGTACATCATCAGAAACAAACGCTGCTTAAATGGAAGCTAACGTGTGCTCACGTAAGTCCTGGACTTCAGGCCTGATGACATTGACGTTTCAAATTTTCCAGAAGAAAGTATGTTCATCCACATCTGGTATAAACATCTCAGAGGTTAGACTTGGGAAGACTGAAGTAAAGGGGTACATACAAATTTATTGAGAACAGTGAGAATCCAGTTTGCCACCGCTACACTAAAAATACTAGCTATCTACTCATGCATGTTGCTACTTGTGCTGTCATATAATGGTTAATCTAATTTGCATTCTAATGTTTTATCTATATATGCATTTTAGTGTTTCATCCATCTTTGTGCGCTGTGTTGCCATTGCATATGAAAAAAAAAGTGCTATATAAATAAACTTGCCTTTGCATAGTAAAAATCTTAAAAGCATAGAGCTGGCACTTGTGAACTGAAGCCACTACAGCACAAACCGTGTAGACTGCTGTGCTGAACATAATGTAGTCTACACCTGCAGTGCGACGTTTTTCCACACGATGACACCACATCCCAATTTCCAGTGGCCTCCTCCCTCCCCCGACGGTGCCTGTTGCGTCATGTCAACTGGAGTAACAAGAAGGAAGAGGAGCCGAGCAGCGTCAAGTTACACAGAAGATACATACACCCCAAGCAGGAAGTGTGTCTTAGAAATAAACTTGGCCAGCCCTCAGCGTTGAACCACCAGAGTACCTTTGGAACAACTGTGCAACTATTGACCAGAGCACTACTGGCAGTTTCAGCATCTCCTGAAATTGTGGGAAAAGAATTGCATGCAAAATGTGCATGCAGTTTTACTTTTACTTTTACTTTTACTTTGAAGTGAGACCGGATGCAGAAGTTTTTTTTTTAAATTGCGGCCACCTTGACAGCGCGCAGAGCTGTCAGTGGAGCAGCCCTGTGTTCACGCCAGGCAGGGAAAGCCCTTAGACAGCAAGTCTCCAGTGTGGACCGCCGCTCTGCGCACCGCTGGCTCAACGCTGAGGGCTGCGCGTCTAAACTGACTGAAATCGCTCCAGGACAGCAAAGCAAAGCTGTAGCATTGATTTGTTTTAGGGGGACATGGCAGATGTAAGTTTAAACGAGTCGTCCACCGAGGACGTAGCGAACAGGTTTGCTCGCAAAGGAGCTTTGAGGCAAAAAAATGTCTACGAAATCAAGAACCATAAATTCCTACCCAGGTTCTTCAAGCAGCCGACTTTCTGCAGCCACTGCACCGACTTCATCTGGTAAGCCTTCCGTCTCCCCACTGCTGCCTGTTGCATACTGGATAACTTCAGTCTAGTGCGCTCTGCTCGATGATGTAACACAACTTCAGGCTGACTTTGCTTTCTTAATCTTGCAATCTGTACACTTTGGACACACTTTCTGAAATGTAAAGCGATAGTATATACAAGTCTATAAAGTGTTATCGCGATTAAATTTTATTCCGGGGAATCTCAATATGTCGAAATTTTGTCCAGGCAGTCCTATATGGGTGGAGTTAAGCTGTTCATTATGTTATTACTGTAGAGTAGGATATAATGTCTGTAGGGGAGGGAGTGAAACTTGTATACAGGTTTGAGACTTTATAGTCCCTCTCTGATTCAGGGTTTCGCCTAAACACTGTCTAATGGAGTTATTTTCATTTTTGTGGAACTATATGGCCCCAGAAAATCTCATCCATGTGTGAGACAACCTGAATGGAGCATGAATACAAGATTGGCAGTGTATCAGCCTTGACAGGCAGCTAAATGACACATGTGCCAGCTGTTAATATCCACTGTTTTGTTGCTGTCCCTGTGCAGTTACTGAGACTGGATCTGGTTAAAGTCTGTGGATGACTAATAGGTTTATCTTTCCTGGAGTGTTGCTATGTTATTAAATCCTTCCATGTCAAACCACTGGGTTTTACAAGACACAGCAACTCAAGTATTTGCATAGCTGCTCACAGTCTAGAATTTTGTGGAAGATTCTGCAGTTTCCTGGCAGTGTGAGCTCATATAGTAAAGCCCTTCACCTACAGTGAAATGTTTGCACATGGTGTTCATTTAAAAACACACTTGAAGTGGGCAGTCACTTTGCACTTCGACAGTGTTTCCTTTATGCTGCAGTTGTTTTCATTAGTGGCTCACGGGTAGAAAATGTATATGGAACGTGTGACACAACATTAGTTTCTGAATGTTACATCTAGACTGATTATAAGAGTGCATTCAGATCTTTATCCACTTATCTCGTTCCATTTCCTTCTCTCCCTGGATGTAACTTAAGGTCAGTATTTCAAAGCTGAAAAGTCACTGAACACCCTTAAACATGATCTCCCAGACTTCTGTTTAGTGTTCGGTTTACTTTTAGAGGCTGTTCATGTGCTGTCATGCTGTTTAGCTAGTGAGAAGTCAGTCTAGGTAGAGCTTGACTGCAGGTGCAGTAAACTTGCAGAGAGCTTGGCAGAGTTACTCCCACGTTTACAGCTACTGTTGAAGGCGGGAGTGTGGCTTATAGGCCTATAACCAGAGTGACCCGTGCCCTCCCAAACACAGCTCCTTAGCAAAGCACACACTCAACATGCTGTAAAAATTAAAAGGCAAGCAACATGTTAGAGAACCCCTTCATCCAGTTTGTGATTTTTTAAATTAGGTTGTATTTTGCATAGTTTTAAGTATGTAACTTACAGTTTTAGCTTCAGTTGTGGATTTCATAGTTTTGGTACCGATAGGGAACAAGAAACCTAACATTAATTGTCAATTTTTTACTTTTCACATACTAGAAACTTACATAAAACTTTAAAAATTGCATGCATATACTGTATATTTGTACACATGATACTTATTTTTAGGTGTATATTTGTACTCAAGTGCAAAGTTTTTCCATTAAAGTGGGGGATTAAATACAAGTCAGTCATTTGACAGAGGCAGAACTAGCCTGCAAAAACTCAGTTCTCAAAAACAGCAATAATAAAAGTGATAAAATGGGGGAATTATTACTTAACATAAGCAAAATTATCTGCCAACATAACAGGAAACTTTCAGTTGCCAAGACTTTTAGAAACAAGTATAAATATCTACTCTCAAGAACTCAGATTAGTGTGTGTATACCTGAACCGAGCCCGACGGGACCTGTCGGTACCTCGGTTTAGGCTGGGTTTGGACAGAAATTTTGAAATTATGTTCGCGTGTTGGTCAGGTTTGGACATGTAGGTCAAACTTTAGGCTAGACGGCTGGAGGACTCAAACCTGCTTCACGCAATGATAAGGGGAAAAACACTGTATGAACTCGAGTGCATTGGGCTCCGTTCAACCTCGGACATTATATACTGTTAGCTTGTCGGGCACGGGTCAGGTTCGGACAGAAATATACAGCCCAAGATACCTTAAATCTTACTTAGAGTTCACTTATTGCAGTACATGGCCAAATGTGTGTGAACACCTGAACATTACAACTTTGGAACCAGCCACAGCAGCATTAGTAAAGTCGGACGCTGATGCTGGCCTGGCTCACAACTCATCCTAAAGTTATGGTCAGAGTCATAGGTCATTGCTGCAGAACGTCCTCCATACCAAGCACAGATAACCATGGACACGGCTTTGTGCACAGAGGCACTGTCATGTTGAAACAGGAAGGGCCTTCCGTAAACTGTAGGCATGGAGCTGGAAGTACACTGTTGTCAGCATTACATTCTGGCTTTCATTGCTTTTAAGTAGTCACTCAAAGTGTGGTTAAGAGTTGTGTTGTTTTAAATATTTATTTTACTGTTTTGGTCGGGGACAGTGAAAGTAAGTGCCCCTAGCAGACCGTGAAGAGTTTTAATCACAGCTCCCTTGTTCAGTAATGGTGTATATAAAGCAAATTTACGATGGCCGAGTGCCTTGGAATGAATAAACCTATGTGTATGTTTGAATGAATCAGCTTTACTGTGTGTATGTGTGTTTAACAGAGAGAAATTAAACAACTATTTAATTCAGCTTTATTTGTTTTCACAGGGGGTTTGGAAAACAAGGGTTCCAGTGCCAAGGTAAAACAAAACTGACTGATTCTTTCACTTATTGCATGTGACATATACAGTATGTCATAGGCAGAAACTCAGGAAATCTCTTTGAAGGAAAGTTTGTCATTTTGCAAGTTTGCCCACATTTTACTATTCCCTTTGCTGTACACTTGACTTTTTTTTTGCTGTTGTATTTGATGTTTTTGTACAGATGACATGAGAAATGGACATTTGACAACCCGTGCGAAAAACTGATTTGTTTGTGAATGTAGTTATTTCTATTAGCTGCTGTCTTAGGAAGATAATCATGTAAAGGAAAATATGAGCAACTCAACACCCCTGTCCTTAGTGCATACTCATCACACTCATTGTGTCAAATTACTAATAACATTCATTCATCGTGCACCGACATTATTTCCGACCTGCTCACAATTTGAATGTTGTATTGCAGACATGGCATTATTTGTTTACCCACAGTCAGGATAGTGTTATTATGGTCATAATGCATGTAAATCATCTGACCAGAGGGAAATAAGCCTAGAATAATATTGCCTTTTATTATTTTAGAGCATAACAAGTTTGGCAGCAAAGAAGTGAGAAGAGATTTCCTGTTAGTTTTCCTTTGAGCTCATTGCACGGCGCTAGATTAGATTTTAAAATTATTATAACAGAAACAAACAGAATTTAATATGGTATTTAACTGTTCATTAGAGTGAAGTGCTTCCTAAAGAGTGAAGCTTTTGCTTATGCTTTGGATCTGACCAAGGAAGTAATAGATCTGTGAAGGGCATTAACTGTGTAAGCTGAGGACAAAAGAATGACAGGTATTTTAGAGAACAGGTGGCACATGAAGTGAAAGAGGAGAGAAGAGACGCATAGGGAAAGTAAAATGCTGCAGCTAACGTCAGGCTCTAAATGACCAACTTCATATTAAAAGTAGATTTCATTTCAACCTGCCATGTGGAGATTCAGCATACACCAACTCTCAGAATTTCTCATCTAATGTGGAAACTCTGGGCTTGCCAAAGTATGTCTCTGGCTGCTAGCGCCCAGGTAACAGTCCAGATGATGTCAATCTCTTGTTTCGCTTAGTTATGGATGCTTCTATCTTCTTTTAGCATGTTTATCAAAAGTCAGTCTTCAGCACATACTGCAACATTGAGATTTGCAGGGTTTTCTTGTTTGCATTGAAGAAAAAACCTTTTTTATTCACTTTCAAAAAACAGCAATCTGGGATTAATCAAGTATTCTGATTCAGATTCTGTCTTGCAAACAAACAAAAGTTATATTTGCATTCAGAGTTTCTCACTTGTCTATACACCTGAGTTCTAACAAATGTGTGGAGGGTATTTCTTTTCTTCATGTAACATTTGCAAAGCAAATTTTAAAATATTTTAGATCCTGCATTGTTACCTCTGCCAAGGTGAAGGTTATGTGTTTTCCAGCGTTTGTTGGTTTGTTTATTTGTTGGCTGGTTGTTTTGTGCACAGCATAACTCAAAAGGTAATGAATGGATTTTGATGAAATATTTTGGAGAGGCAGGGTCTGGCCAGGATCCAGGATTTATTTATTTATTTTACAGGATTTTTCGCCATTGTGCGATAGGGCCAATTTCTTTTAACTTCTAACTCTATACATAATGCCTATAATGTTTGGACAAAAATTGCACAATAACATCCACATAAGATTTACCACACACCAAAGTCTGATCTGGATCCAATTAATATTCTGAATCTGTTGATCCAGAATGTTCACATTTATAGGGCTCATATAAAAACTCATTACTGTGAGATAACAAATACTGCTACAGACCTGCAATTGAGATCAAATTCTAGCTGAAACCGAGACAGATTTGATGTATACTAAGCTACATCCTGAAGAAAACCGCCATTATTGTTTTTCTTGAATAACTTTCAAGCTAATAATGATATCGATGTGATTCCAAATGTAGGTTTTCATGGTCATGGTATCATATTGTGAGGGTCATGTGCGGCCTTTTGTATATGGACAAACAAAATGTTGATCCACTCATAAAAGCATTGTTCCATAGCACTACTAGTGGTCGAAAACACCACAAGGTACCTTTAAAATCACATTCAGAATTTTACATTCTCACATATTACAAAGTATCATTTCTGGTCCAGTTTGTGAAAATGAGAGTTGGATTATAAAATTTGTTGCTGCTAAACAGTTTTTATCTGAAGCAGGTGTGATAATAATGTTAAATAAGACAGAAAAACAGAAAAACTTACATGGAATAAATGACTTAATTAGAGGTTTTATAGATAGATTTCTACTTATGGAGCTGTCGAACAGAAGACAGTCTCTCTCTGTTGGAGACTAAACACAGACATGC